AAAAAACTCAAGAAAATTCGTTAGATTATTTCACATGTGAAAACGAAGGTAGAATATAACGATTATTGATACATTAAATTTAGTTAAAAATAAAAAACTCAAGAACATTCGTTAAATTATTTCACATGTGAAAACGAATGTAGAATATAACGATTATTAATACATTAAATTTGGTTAAAAATAAAAAAACTCAAGAAAATTCGTTAAATTATTTCACATGTGAAAACGAATGCAACGTTTAACGATATGTAATGAGTTAGTTACCGTTAAAACGATAATCACGCGTGAAAAAGCATGAAAAATCTAACGCGTTTACACGAGTTTTCGGAATATAACGAAAGTTCATGATAATTTTCTTCGTGAAATGGCGTTAATTTGTCTTTTAACGCGTTTTTTTGCGTTAATTTTAACAATCATTTCGTTAAATACCTTTTTATTTTTACATGGGAATTATCATGAACATGAATATAATAGAAAACGAAGTAAAATACCTAGACTACTTTATACAAATGAGAAAAATTCTATGAGTGTGGGCATGAATGCAAACATACATTGGAGAAAAATTGAATATAATAAAAAAGCTATTAGAGCAATCCCTGCGAGATTAAAATATGAAATACGATGTAAATGTTGTTTCTAATCATAGGAGATTGTTTTATTATATCTATTTTGGTACAGATTTCTTCATTATCCTTGTACATAATTCTTCAGAAATGCAATAAAGGAGTAGTTCATATATTAGAACGAAAGATTACTGATATATGGTCTCAGATCATATATCAGCAATAACTGTCACAATCTGTGACGAAGGGAGGAGATGTTATTAAGGCGTCTGTCACAGTCTGTAGGACGGCGACAGTCCAAAGTTCTACCTCATATACATCTCAAATTCCACAACAAGATAAGTGTGAATCGCGTGATTGAGGATTCGCTTTGCATCTTTCTGCTACTGAAATCTGATCAATAGATTTAAATATATGTTTGCTCGCTGTTGAAGATGCTGGAATAGAATTCAGTGTTGACGTCAAACATCATTATTGTGAATACACACCTGCATGCTTTCTCCATCACAATAATACACATTCACCTTTTTGATAGTTCATTTTCTTCTCCATGTATTCAATTACGTGATTATACAGTTCATCCTCATTGATAGAGGAATTTTGGTTAAAAATGAATTCTTTGTTTCGCCAATCGCTGGGTCGGGTTCCAGGCACCCGAGGTGGTTGTAGAACACTAAGTGAAGTCTCTTTAAATTAGGGAGTTTTCCATAGAAAACAAGATTGACTCGTTTAAATTAGAAATATCAAATAGGATAATTTTTGTTTTTTTGTTGATTACTAAACGTAAACAGAGAGAGTTAAAGAAATATTAGCATAAAGCGTACGAAGTTGATTGAAACGTTCATCGAGTAAATACTGACAATCAGTAAGATAACGGGAGCGTCAGAATAAATAAGTGTCTCAATCTCTTCTCAATATCTCTGCCAATTCTTGTCATTTAGAGCTGAAATCATTTAAATTTATTCAGCGGTTAATTCTCAATCAAATTATAGACAAATATGTATTATAGAAATAAAAATGAAAAAGATATGCTAGAGATATTGTGAACAAGTAATATCAACAAATTTCAAGTAAAATAATAGGCATTAATTTTTGCTTTCTCTCTGCTATTTAACCGTTGTTAGAACTGGTTAATGCACAATTTCTCGTGCAATCGCATGTGCTCTTGCTACAAGAACCTCAGAAAGACATTATTAACCGAAAAAAATTTGACCAATAATTGACTATTATACAATAGAGATTTATCGAGAAAACCTGTAAACATATCTATAAGATAGACATTTTCAAGCTCTACAAATTAGATAGTTTAATATTTTTTAATATCTTGATGTGAGAAAGAATAAACACAAGAAGAATTTTTACATAGAAATAGAGGAAAGGAGCAGAGGTATTGCAGAAATTTGTAGAATCTTTTATAGAGTATATGACATTTCAGTAATTTTCGAATTTCTTGGGCTCGTCGCTGGTTGGAAACTAGGCACACTGCACAAAGGTTGATTTCATCGCTAATGACTACTTGAGGATGGATGGACAAATAGGTGAACAATAAATATAAATTCTACTTTTCTCATCGATCGAAAGCGTTTTAGTACAAATAGAACACTACTGAACAATCACATAAAATTGTTTCCTTCCTGATGGTAAGGATTTCGACGTTCTCGTCAATGTCATTACCTTCGTTTCAAAAACAAACTAAATGATTATTTATTTCATTTGATGATCGGTTTTCATCGTTAAGTTTTCTGTCGATCATTTTAATAAGATCTAAGAAACTATTACCAAGACAGTTATTATTTTAGATATTCTCTGTTCTGATAGATGGACATTTCAATTTAAATTTGACAGCAACAGCTAGACTAGGAAGTTGTCAAGTGAAGTATTCTCGAGTTTACATCATTTATGGCAAAGTTACTTTCATGAACTCTATCGACAATCAAAGGTTCATGAATGATTCCGTATACATAGCCAAAAGTTTCAATTGATGATAGAAACCTTTTTTCGCATGATTACTTCTTAGTTTTCTAACTTCATTCCTAAGATGAGGAGTAACGATGACGAGCTGTGGCAGTAGCTTCATAGCACCTTAAGATACTCTACACAATTATGCAAACTACGCCTAAATGATTGGCTTAGTGTTAAGATATTAAGGTGTTCGTGTTAGCATGTGGTTGCATGGTATGATCGGGACTGAGTGTAGGTATAAAAGTGGGCGTTGGTCTTCTTCCTACTATCGCATGCACATTCATCACCAGACCTACACTCACAATCCCATTCACACATCCAGACCCACATCTACACTCTCGTTCTTGTTGCTAAACTTTTCGCCGTCATTTCACTGTTTTCGCATACAGCGAATACAATATGATGCTTTGCAAACATCTTTGTTTTTCTTATCTCTATGCTCTGTGGAGGCATTGTGTAATAATCAAAAAAATAAGAAGGTGCAGATCTCGATAAGGGAAACACGTGCCTATTTGAGTCAGACCACTCACAACTATTCGGAAGAATGAAGTCATACACTGACTTTTCTTAGACTATGTGGTCCGATTAATTTTCTCTCTTTTTAAAACGAGTTCACGAGAAAAATTCTGATAGATCCACTTTGTTTGAGATGGCTATATCAGAAGAAGGGTCATTTTGATTAGTTCAGAATTTTTATTGAATTTCTATTTAGAAAATTTTAGCAAGATCGAATCAATAGAAGCCCGCGAACTTGGAACTATAGCTATGCAAGAATTAATTCAATCGGCACAAGTCATCTTGCCATGTTCACCATTTGATGAGACACTCACATTCTTTACCAATCGACTGGGTTTTCGACTTAATCTTATTTCTCCAGCAGATGATCCAGCAATCGCTGTACTTTCTGGATATGGACTCAATTTACGACTGGAACGCAATACTGGCGAAATGGCGCAAGCAGCTGGTACAATTCGTTTATTCGTGAAAGATGATTCCGAACTTTTTCAGAATGATAGCACAGAAATGTTTGCACCGAATGGTACCAAAATTCAAATTGTGAAAGAGACAACCGAATTGGTGATACCACCCATCAAACAATCATTTGTTTTGTGTAAAATAGCTACCGATGCAGCATGGGTCAAAGGACGTGCGGGAATGAATTATCGTGATTTAATTCCCGGTCGACAAGGTGGACGCTTTATTGCATCGCATATTCAAATTCCGATTGGAGGTCCAGTGGCTGACTCTGTACATTACCATAGTATTCGATTTCAAATGATCTACGTCTATCGGGGTTGGGTACGACTCGTCTACGAAGATCAAGGACCTCCATTCGTTCTTCAAGCAGGAGACTGCATTTTGCAACCTCCTCTAATTCGTCATCGAGTGTTAGAAAGCTCGGCCGGTCTTGAAGTGATTGAAGTCGCATGCCCAGCGACACATAACACTTACGTCGATCATCACATGCAGCTACCTAATACTGAGCAGCGGCACGATCGTGACTATGGAGGACAGCGCTTTGTCAAATACCTTGCAGCAGATGAAACGGCTTCATGGCATCCGTGGCGTTTATGTGGCTTCGAATTCCGAGATACTGGAATCGGCTTGGCTACTGCAGGTCTAGCCGGTGTTCGTATTGTTCGAAATAGTGGTGATCTCAAGTCTCAAATTTTGCAACATGATGCTGAGTTCGTCTTTATTTTTGTTCTTACTGGCGAACTCACGCTACATGTCACTGGTCATAGCGCTGAAAAGATGACAAGCGGAGACTCCGTTGTAATACCGGAGAAACTTTCATACAATTTCAGTGAATGCTCAAAAAATCTGCAGTTCCTAGAAGTATCACTTCCTGAAACTGTCAATTTTGTTTGCGAATAAAAATGAAGCACCATCAATCAGAGAAAATATTGAGAGAATAGATTATTTTTGATCAACAAAAACGCTAATTTCCCAAGAGAAAGCTCGATAGTTTGAGAACCGACGTTTAGACTAGAAAATTGCATCGACTAATTGTAGAAGTCTTTTCGAAAAATTTCCTACATAAATTCATTGTTATTGATTGATCATAGTTTGAAAATCGAAAGGCTGTCTTTAATGAGTAAAAGAATAGGATGTAAGTGTGGATGTAGGTGTAGGGTGCGCCTGTGGCTGTGAAAGAGAAGATTAACATTCACAGCCACACACGAACAGCCGTACCATACACTCACATCCTGAATCTAATTCATCTTCGGTCGGATCTTTATCGTTGTTGTTTCTTTTCTTCTTAGGAAAAATGCATTCGCCACGTGAAAGTATCTTAATGGATTTTCTGTGTCATACTCATACTGAAATATTTATCTTCGTTGACAATAGCGAAGTTTAGCTGCACGTGATTGCTTATCGTGTCTTCTCTTCGCATATATATTCTAAAAAATGATAGCTACGTTGATAAATCAAATTCTTTTTCAATAAAAAAAAATCGCGTTGTAATTCATGTGAGAAGTAGCCGAAATCAGCTAGCGCTTTTCGGGAAAATTTGAATCAGGATAGTTGTGCCGTTTTGTACCGACTAGGTCGGTACAAATCCATAGTAGTTTCGATTTGGTGATGTTCATGTTAGTGAATTCGTGGGATATATTGTGACGTTGATACCGTATGGATAGTTGAAATCTTCATTCAAGTATATAACTGTCGGTTGTTGAATGTCTGTGTTGATAGTGAACTGCAGTTCGAATAGACGCGTGCTAAGATAAAATCCCATTATTATTGGAACACCTGAAATAAATACAATCCTACTTCATGAAGTTCTATAGACAGTACACTACCCGCAATGGGTTGAGCGTACGAACGAGAGAGTTCTTGGACTTTGTTCAATTCCAGCTCTCCATCTTCAGTATAGAATGATTCTGTTGTAGCAGGGCTTGTCATGATTGCTAGATCGGCATATTTCTTGAATTGCCAATAGATCCAACCTGATATAAACAATGGATTGAGAACTCGAATGTATTCACTGAACTTTTATTTTGTAGCTTCTCATCGGCAAGTTCCGTCACTCGATTGAGTTCATCAGTACCTTTCGTTGAGTCACTGATTGCGCCGAATTCGGTCATCATCATACCGCCGAATTTCTTTCTACGTGTCTCTTCCACACGAATACCGATCATGTAATTATCGGAGAACTCACAGACAATATCCGATTTCGGATCACCTTGTTTTGTTACATCGAAACAGTAGTTATGATAGCTAAATACTTGACGATTGTTGTATTCCGCACTACCTAGCCCTTCAGTGAGACCGGTCGTGAATATATCAAAGACGCATGGTTCGAAAAAGATCAGATGCTTGTCATCGACTTTGCGAATCACTTCGTGCAACTTTTTGTACATCGGAGCAAGATACACTCGATGGACCAAACCCAACTGTATGATATCCGCCACTGCTGAAAACAACGGTTCATTTATAAGTTCATAGCCGAGAACTGATGACCGATCAGCAAAATAACTAGCTACTGCACGCCAGAATGAAGCAAATGCTTCGAGAATACCATTACCATTTGTACACCTAGGTCGTACAAAGATTATTGAATGGAAGTTCTTTAAATACATATTCAATGATCTTACAGTACTTTGAAATCATTGATCACTCCTTGAGTGAAATAGTATTGAGCAAAGGGATGTTGTAGATATTGATCGAGTACTGGATATTCTGTATCTGGTTCTCGTTTAAAATTTAATGGAAATGGTAATAGAAATTCTTTGAGAGTGTCTGCACCTAAATTCTTAGCTATCCAATCAGGAACACCTTCATCGCAGAAGAATCGTGAGAAAACATCTTGATGACAATTGAGAAAAGCATATATACCCTTGTTTTCCATCATTGATATAGCAGTCGACAGCTGAATTGGATTGACATCTATCCAAGCAGTGTAAAATCGAACGACGTTAAAACCTTGTCTGTGAAGATTGTCCAAATCGTCGTTGGTCAGAGAGTTTTGCAGATCGAACGTGGTTGGATTGGGTAGAAAGGGTGGCAGTTTGTAGACAACATTGACGCCATGAAAGATGCGTACTCGGCCGAATTCGTCGATGAAATGCTGTGTGTCTGGATCGACGTGAATGCTCGGCAATGGATCATCGCTACGAACAGTTGAAATGATGAGAAAAAGAAAGATGTGTTTTATGTCAGCCATCTGTAAAAAGACGTGCATGAATGAAATGAGACACATCAGTATGTATGCTCTTACTGTTAACTCCAGCTGTTCTTCGTTCTTTTAGCTACATAACAGCGAGGTTTCAGCGCTTTACCATTGTAAATCACTTCTAACGATTCGAACAGAGTGTGATTTGAATGAGCAATAGAAACTTACATCTGTATACCGGTCCACATTTATCGACAACAAAATGAACTGGCTTGATACTAAGGATTTGAACATGACTCGAATAGGTCTTTCGTTTACAACATATAAATAAAAAATAGAAACAATTTCTCTAGGGGACTACGACCACAGCGTGAAACAGCGAACTTTAGACTTACGAACTTTCGCAGATTTCTAGCTTTCCCGTATTCAGCTTAATTTCCAAGATATAGCTATGGCTTACTAGAACCTGAGAATCGGCAAGACTTTAAAAGACTTCGGCACTCCTTGCTATGAGTGTACAATCCACGCTGTCGCTCCATGAGCAAGAGCAATAATTGATCATGCTCAAGCGAACAATGAGCGATTCCACTTTCTCAGGCGTATCTAAGATATCGATAATTGGCATCGTACTTGAATCAGATATGCATTTAATTGTCTATAGCCAGCTGAGAGAATACTTACACGCATGTCGATCATAAAACCATTTTTGAGACTACCATTAGATTCGCCTGCGTATTCATCGATGATACTCACGTTTCAGAGAATTTTTCCCAATTTTCGTGACCGAGCAACTACATCGTGCATGATGAATAGAAAGTTGAAAAGATGTTTGTTCTCATCTTCAATGTAGGTATGGCTGTGGAGTCTGGACATGTGGTTTGAGTGTAGGTGTGAGTCTTCTCTTCACCCATACTCATACCCTCGCACTCGCATCCACACTCAGACTCTTGAAGATTTTAAATGATTTATCATTGATTCCATAACAGATTTATCTTCTCAGCTTGTTCACTATTGTCCGAAACAGAACTATATTGGTTCTGTGTACTAATTAAAAGTCCTTTAAACATGGGCATTATCGATTAACCGTAGAGTTAATCTAGTTTTTATGTTATATTTACTTTGTCATCTCTTATGCCGGTGCGAAATATGTTCAATAAATAGTAGAAACTACAAAAGAATTGATGATAAATTACAGTACTAAATAGTTGTTCGATTTTGTATCAATAACAGAACTGAATATTAAAGTAAGTGAATAAAATGTATTAAGTATATCATGACGAATTTTTACTTAATAGAATAGTCTGATGCATGTTCTGATACAGACATAGTTTTCGATATCAGTAAAAAGATTTTGATTTGTGAAAAAAGACACTTTCATTATCAATTTTTTTCAAAAAAAAAACTATACGAAAACTCAAAAAAAGTCGGGGCCGGCCGGTCTTCACCGGTCGTTTAACGTTATCGGTTACAACTCTGGCCTGACATATTAACTCAGAATATGCTTGAAATTCTTAGCAGCTTTTTTCACTAAAAGGCAGCTTTTGTTCTTAATGAAGGATTAATAATTTCATTGTGTATTCAGATAATAAATACAAGAAACACAGATTTGTATTGACCAAGATGTCCATGTCAAATTTTCTGCTCTGAAGGACGTACATGTCCTTATTTTTGTCCCTTATAACGTTGTTTTTGCACCATCGATTTTCTGATTGGTTGATTTTTTTGCCCCATGAGATTATTTCTCTTTTTTTTGTGATGGTTCATCTTACCTTTTTGTTTGGAGCATTTGCCATAGCTTTTCATTGATATTTTTTTGCTTAATTTCACACCCGACTTGCTTGCTGATCGACTATTTGATTTCAATTGGCCTGCATTTCTCGACTAATAACACAATCAATTTCAACATGGCCACACAGGCAATTACAGTGTTAACAGCGAAAGTTAAACTTCTTCATAAGAACCAAGCAATTGAAGCAATATCAGTAAGTAACTTATTAATTTTCCTCTAAATATAATGTATATTAACTATTGGTAGGTTTTATCGGTTATTATTAACTGTTTATTAATAAACAACGAATATCAACAAGAAGAACAAACGAAAGACATTCTTATTTTATCGTTTATTGAAAGAATCAATTTGAACTTCAAAAAAGAAAGATTTCAAGATAATATGATAATGTTTATTAATGTATTTCCTAGAATTAGATTCATGATAAGACAAAAAATTTTATCAATTAGCATTATTTATTTATTTTTTTCTTTCAGAGGTTGTATCGGATGTAAATTCCATCAAACAACTCGATTATGATATTTACAACGACAAAGACATTTTCTTGATGTATCAGTAACACAATTATCATATTTCATCATTAAGCCTGCATTTTAATTTTAGTCAAGCTAAAACAAAAATTCACAACAATAATATGATTAATGACTTCGAAAAGTTAAAACTATGATGTAAGTAAATACATATTATTAAAACTAATAGAAATGCACATTTATTTTTCTTTTGTATTCGTGATCATAAACATAAGACGTCCGCTAACTTTTTCTCTACTCTTCAGAATCGAAAATTTGCTTGTTTGTTTTTTTTCGAAGTCAAACACCAGCTATTCGACAAAAATTTTTTGTGACTAATTTCTTTCGTCAGCTAACGAGAGAATATTCCCAACTGGGGAATTAATTTTCGCTTTGGGCTATTACCATTTGATCGATCAAACTGAGCAATAAAAAACTCTGCATGGTTTGCTTTTTCGGCCTTCTCTTGTCGAGTTATAGTCGTTTTACTCGATTTTTGAGTCTACGAGTATAGAAATATCTGAGAAACTGAAGGTTCAAATTTGAAGCTGAAATTTTCTTCTTATATATGTATTATACAATGCTATCACTTTTTAACCTTCAAAAAAACAACAAATGACAAGAAGTCCATTGGGAAAAAAGTTAAAAAAAAGGAAGCATTCTTCTGATCCCGATTCATTTCTGAGCTCTTTCTTAATGCTCAATGAGAAAATTTCGCACTACACTCTAATCTTTATCGTACAAAACCAAGAGAAAGCGATTTAAATATATAAATAGAATCGTTTGATGCATTGTAATTAAATTGTAATCTTTATCTGTTTTATTATTTTTGCATAAATCTTGGTTCGATTCGTAGCATTTATATAGTTGAACACTAGTTTAGGCATAAAGTGAAAAGCGACTAAACAGTTAGAGAGATTCTCTCGTATGCGAATAATGATTGAGTCTATTATGTGCATATTGTATGAATAAGTGACATCCTTTTTAAATGTGACGTTTTCTAATTGATGTAGATGTCGAGACCGTAAAAGAGAATATTAATATGGATCATAACGCTAAAAAATGTGTTTGCAAGGTACTGTATATAATAAATAAATCCAAAATTTGTTTTTATGATTTTAAAAATAGGAAACCGATAAAAAATAAAACGTTTGCTTGTGTCCTTCATTTAATTTCATCTTCGTACTCAATCGAGATAGTCAACAAGATATTTTTGATTATTACGTGTTTTTTATCTGTATCAATATTGTTGCTGTATCCACATATTTCTATCTGTTTTTCATTTGTTGTTTTCATTCACATCCCCCCACATCCACACTTGCACGCCAGTAGTTATCCACTATGTGAATGAAGATCTCGGATAAGAAAAGATATAAATCACACCCAGTCACAGTCATACTCGCTCTTCTTGTCCAATGTGTCCATGTGTGAAAATAGTGGTGTATATTTTCTCATCATAAATATACGAAACACGAAGGAGGACAAAACATAGCGGAAGAGCAGCATGAAAGCACAGAATATGAAAATTGATGATTGCATTGCCATTAAACAAAATTTTTCACCCTATGAAAGTGTCATGCTTCATTAACACACGTCAATATTGATAAATTGGAAAGAGTCATGCAGTTTCGTCAACGATGAATATGCAAGAGTGCCTTTTGCCAACATTAATAAAACAAAATTAATATATTTCAATATTTTTCATCACATGAGTATACTTGATTTTCAAGGTAACAAGTGAGTTGCAGTGAATGAGAGTTCGTATTTTTGGAAATTTCTTCTCTATTCTTCACTTGATTGAAACACTTCCTTTTTATTCAAAGATAGTGCTTAAGATTCTGCACAAAATGGTATAATTCATTTAATAAATATAGTTTCCTCCATTCTTTGGATCAAACGCAATCATACAATTAAATCAAGTATAGAATATCAAATTTTCACTTTTCCAATTTTTTTGACAGAACGTTTTATTTTGTCTATCGATGTTGCCTTTGTTGTTATGTGATGCCAATTCATAACTTCAGCCATTTGATCTCATAGACTATAATCTAATGGACATAAATCAGGCAGATTCAATAGGTTATGATACTTAGATATGCATACAAACAATGACTTGTACATCGTTTTCCACTGAGGCAATGCGTGTGAACTTAAAAAAAATTCTGCTAACATCTAGTTTGCAAAATTAGCCTGCTCTTTTTGTGCAGATCAGCCATGGCTGACTCTTTGACCTTCTCCGATGGAAAATAGCTAAGATCTTCATGCGATAGTAGCGGTACGCGTTTCGTTTCAACAGGCAATTTTCTTGTTAACACTCGTTTCTTGAAGAGGAGACGCCAGTTCATTTTTCAGACAGTCACTTTTGTTCGAACTGCACATTGACGACCGGGGTTACGTGACAAATTCGATAGAACTAGTGTTGTAGATCATTTTTATCCATAATTTATTGGTTTGTAATCAAACTATTCCGATAAAATTACGATAGATGTTCGCCAGTTCATCGCCATTTTCATATTTATTTTTTATAGCTGTTTGTATGTCTTTACTTTCTATGTCTTTTCAAATATATCTAAGACAATTTTTAGTCCCAACTATATTTGGTTTTGTAGAGAATTTCGAGTGTCATTTTTTGATAAAAAGAGATGTCTCGATCTAATGAAGAATAGAAGAAGAATATTCAAAATATGAACAATCTAATTTATTCTAACCTACTCCTTACTTAGACTACATGTAAAATCATAGTTAAAAATCAAAAATAGCGACGAGCAGTATTAAACCACGTGGCATGTAGACGAGAGTTTTTGATTGCTTCGCTTTGTGAAAAATCTCTTGATAATTAGCTAGAGTCCAGAATCCCTATAAAAAAGAGTCTAGGTAGATGAGATCGAGTTGATTCGATTTACTCAAAGAGCCATAGCCATTAATGATTTTCCTAAATAAATACCGGATGCCCTTCTAGTTTCTAGATACATCATTACTTTTTTTTGCTCACCTTCTATTGAACACCATTTTGTTTGTTTAATCATTAATAATATTAATGGAAAATTTTAATCACTATTAAATAATTCCAACTAATGTTTTAAAAAAGTCTTTCCTTTGAAGAATAATTTGTTTTCTAAAAAAATGATATTACTAATGAAAACACAGGAGGAGATTTCACGAAAAATGACTAGAAAACCAGGCTTTTTTTTTTTTAATTTTGACTCAATCATTTCTAAAAGTGGGTGCGAATGTGAAGACTTGAGTATGGAGTGTGGGTGTGGGTCGACTTTACACAAACACCCACACCAACCCCCTTATTGTTTTACGCACTTGAGTGATGTTGATTGAATCAATCTTTGGGTTCTCTTTTCTGAATATGTGTATTGGTGACGCTGTAAAACATCCAATGAAAGCATTCAATTATAATTTTAGTGTTGCTAATGTGAAAAAAAAACATTTGCTCACTGAATAAGTGTGTTCGACAGCATTCAAATCAGTGACAAATTCACCATAGGTAACTATTACTGAAGTATACATTTGTGAAATTCGTTGTGAAGCATTCTTCGATAATGGGTGTTTTTGACTTACACGAACCAAAAGATGGACGCGATCGATTCTTCTTATATGCAATGATTATTCTCCCATTCATCTCCACTGGTTCCTACGCCTTCGATGCGTGGTATCACTATGCGTATCATCCTGAACGACGTACTTACATAGGACTATTGTCGACGATTGTCATCATCTTCTCCTATTTACAATATTGTGCTCCTATTCGTTCTCGATATTCGTTGGCCGTCTATCATATACTTTTGTGGATCATAACTGAAGTGGCTACACTAGGCTATTTGATCTTCTATATCAAGGAACGTGAAACATTCAAAATTTTTATTTATATTGGCTTTTGCATAGTCGAAACTTATTTGACGGCTGGTCTCCTATATTGTCGAGTTTTCCAGAATCTAGAATCAAATATCATTGTCGAAAATAAACATCTCTTTCATTTTATGTCTCGCTTGGAAGTTATTCTCCTTATCTTCATACCAGCATTCATGAGAACCGAATATACATCGTTGACAAGGAATACGGTTGCTTTTTTTCTTCTCTTCGACTTTTTCTCAGATTCGTACGCTCGATTTCAAGGCGTTTGGATCAAATCGGCTCTATATTTGTTTGTGAGCACAGTCACATTGACAGTCGCTACCGAATGGTTCCATGTCAACGAACGGGAACATGTTTATGAAGTGATTTCTTTCGTTGCTGAACTTATCTCTGCCTTTTTATGTGACAGCATTATTATACTACAATTTTATCGATTCCATTTTAAAGCAGAACACATACAAGGTATTTTTGCAGATGCCGTACGCTGTGCCAGGGAAAGAGAAGCACAAGATCGAACTACTATTGAAATGGTCACAGAGGTTGCAAAAAAAACCAGAAGACGTACCCTGGACATTATCAATCCCTTCGGTAGAGCTAAATGACGTCAAACAAAATGAGAAAACTGACTTGCTCGAATATTTTTGAGGTTTTTTTTGTAACTATTCAAGTAATTTCTTCGAGATTTCCTTTAAACATCATCATCAACAATGACAACTTGTAGAGTTTGGAGTAGCACAGAACACGACCAATGCGTCGCTTAACAGATTGGTCGACTCCTTTTTAGGATTTAAGTGAAATAATTTTCTGATTCAAAATAAACAAGGAAAACTGCAATAAGCTAGCACTTAATGAATACCTTTTCCGACTTCTCTACAGAACATACAACTCAAATGCACTTCTCCGACTTGGTTGCCATGAGAAATCATCATTAAAGCAAATAAGACCAAACGTAAACACGCATGCGTGGGAATGTGGATGTTCTCTTCACCAACAGCAATACCTACATCGCACTCTTAAGCATAGTTATAATGGGTTACGTATATGAATGAGGGTTTAGGTATAGAGATAAGGATGCAAGGGTAAGTAGATAAATTTAATGTTGCTGATGTGGGGGAGGGGGGGGGCGGTACGAAACCTTATTTTCGATTTGGTACAATGGTTTGGTATGACACCTGTCTTACGGAAACATTATTACAGCAACCTAGAAATGGTTTGCGTCGAAACTTTAGTTATAGAACATCAAAAAAAGGTTCCAAGTTTGCATTCGCGGGAAGAATTTGTTTAGGTTTCGCGAAAAACCTCTAATTCTAGAGTGTATGCAGTATCGATGTTTCATACTTAGAATAAATGGAACCTCTGCGTTCACTTTTCTAACTATTCAACAGATTTGCTTCTCTATCTATCAGTCATCATTTTATATCGATGCCGCAAGATCATTATCTAATTTTGTTGATGGTACAAAATAGCTCTTCTCACACTTGATTATTCTTGTGCAATCAGACATTAACATAATGTCTCCCCAGACATGCAATATAAGAGTAAGAAACAATATCTTCAAAAGCACAACCAGTTGAAATACATTTTCTTTTGTACAACTTCGACATTCGCTATTATGCTACAACCATTCAATATGCAACGCATGGTAGCAAACCTGAAGCCTTTTACTTCGACTGAAAGTAAATAAAAAAATTGCTGTTAGAGCTCTTGCAAAGAAAAGCGATATGGTCTTTTTATTTTGTTTCGCTTCGTATGTGACACTTGAACATGCTTACACACTTAAATGGACAAAGAAGAGAAGGTCTTATAGCTAGTAACGGCATAATGCATTCGTGAGAATGAATGCTATTTACTATGTCTTCTCTTCGTCCACGCCACAAATACAATCAATTACTACCTGATTATGAATCTTTTCAATCATGAGTTCAACAAAAAAGAAAAACAAGTGTATTTACAATATGAAAATGAATTAAATAATTATCAAAATTCAATTATATCATGAAAAGAAAAAATTCTAAGATATTGATTTATTACCTTTAATATTAATCGAACGTGATACAAAATGACAACAATTTGTTGATAATGAAACAAAGTCTTTTGTTAAACAAAAAATAATGTTAAGAAAAACCTACTGAACAATCATTTATTGAATAATTACAATAAACCAAAGGTATAGATGTACAAGTAAATATGAGTATGAATTTTCAGTTCACTCACACCCACATCCACCGACACCTTGCAGCGCAAATAATATAAGTCCATATTTTCGTAGACAAGAGAAGTGATAATCATCAATTGGCGACAGAATCAAAAATAACTACTCGAAAAATTTCTGATAACAAAAGTTGACCTGTTTCGTTTCATAATGGAAGATATCGATTGATGCACAAAAAAAAACATATTGTACACAGAGGTTAGCTAAGATCAAAGATAGCAAATGAAAATCAAAAAAAAATGTACGATATGAATAATCTAATTGATCGTAATTTGAAATGTTCTAATTTGCATTGGATGCAGAGTAATCATTGTCTCTTGCAACGAACCTTGTTCTAGAAAACGATAAACACATATGTGCATCACATCACTCAAGACAGTCTTCAATCAATATCAAACTTACTCGACATATCGACATATGATGATTCGCCATTATTAGTTATCCACTCTAATCGATGCAAGTCAGACAAAGGTAAATTGGCACTGAGTATCAATTCCTGCATATTAACAATCGTGCCCATAGTGACAAATAAGACCTGTAAATCAATAGTGACTGGTTGCGAATATATCTCATCTTCATTCAATTCAAAATAATGTTCAAGACGAACGAGATACTCTTCTGAACTTAATTGATCGAATGTCAAGAGATGGACATTGAGTGGCATTGTGTCTGATAAAGCCGACCATGTTTGACGATAACTCATCGAGTAGTTTGTGTAAGATGATGTATCAGGCAGTGAATATGTAGTTAGAGGATACATGAACAATTGTTGAGCACCGATTCGATGCATGCGAGCACTATTGGTAGGTGGTTCAACAAAAAGATGATGTCTACCACGAACAACAAGACCTTTGCTATAGGCTGTTTCATTCAATGGTTCATTGAGACTAATTCCATCGGTGTAGAGAATCCGACGATGAAGCATAATTTCGATGGAACCATCGTGCATACTTCCACCACCTTCTGATCGATCTAAAGAACGTACGAATGATGAAATGAGTCATGAAGAAGGAAACAAAATTATTCGTACCAGTGAGTACAGTCAACTGACTTTGATTATCTCGAATCCAGATGCGACTATTGATTGGATAATAGTTACCACTTATTGGTTCATCACTCGAATAATTCCATGTAGGTCGATAATCACGAATACGTTCAAGTACTTCACGTCCATTAGCATCTGTATAATATTTTGATGCACTATTGATGTTGGTATCATAACGAATAATGATCTCTTTCCCAATACCATCGTCAATAGGAATCGGTCCTAGTGTCCATTCGATTTCAACAAATAATGCCTCTGGATATAGAGTGATCTGTTGAGTAGCCCATTCGTTGAAAACAATGAATGCTGATTGTACTATTTTTGTTTTTGTACAATTTCTATTTAGTTGTTTTTCATCGATGTTTAAAATTATTGGATGAAATATTTTGAATGAAACTACTCACATGATACGTTGGCTGCTTACTGGTTGTGCATGAGAGTTCCATGGTCGAAACATATAGGCACCAGATGCTTGAAATCCTTCAGAACTGTTGCTTGGAAAGCCTTTTGAAGAAAGAATACAATTGTTTGAAAAAGCATAAAGAAGAATTGTTCATGAAATGTTTCAGAAATTTGACCTTCTCAAATGGTCTATGGTTCAAAAAATTCATGATCAGTATCTGATGCACTTAATACTTTTCAAAAGATAGAGAAATAGATCTTTTTTGTTAAATCAAGAATTTCTAAAGCAATGAACAAGCAAAACTGAACAATTTATGAAAACTGAATCGAAGAGCTGAGTATAAATAATTTAAGCTTGAGTGAACTGAAGTTGGTGACTACGTCATCCGATTTACAATGAAATTATCTATGATGATGTTTGTTCTTATTTTTGAATCTCTTGATTCAATACCTTCGATAGCTATAAAAGTGACCTAAGCTTTCGTTTTAAAATATCTTCTCCGTACGGAAGCTTTCTTTTAATCACATTACATCAGATAGTTGTCTGCAACACTTCTAAATCACTTACTTGAGTACCAATAGAAGCCCTGACTAGTAAATGGTAGCGTCAAATTCTTCTCTAAATTGATAATCTGTTGTAAATTGCCTTGATCATCGAATTCCACTCGCAGATGCTAAGAATGACAAATGGACTCGTGAATATTCGAGATTATGGCAGTGTTTTACTTCGTTTTGTAGAATACACATTTCATTTTGTGTCATTGTCACTTGCTTGTGTACGTTGCCCTGCTCATCAGCTGTTATATCAAATAGCAACAAAAAAATAGTAAACATTTTTTTTTCTAATAATTGTTAGAAAAAAAAACAAAATATTTCCAAGAACATGTTTGATTTTCAAAATAAAAGGAAGTAACAGAAATCAGATGTTTTGAGCATTCGCAATAAAAAGAAAAAGATAGTTTCTCAAAGTATATGCAGAATTATTTGTTGACGAGCAGAAGTAGAAAGTGCAGGTCCACATTGTTGATCTATCGAAAAAAAACCTATTGGCGTTTTGTAGTTCTATCTCTTCTTTGTGGATACACAAACATTTTATTCATTTTCTTTGACACTTTTCGAAGAGTTGCTTGTTCACGAAAAAAAGTGACTTTGTCTATAGTAACTGTACATACTTCTGGCTTCGAAATAGTAGGTGTTGTAGCCAAGTGCAGGTAATAATGCTTTGAAGATATATTGATTTTGAGCAGTACTTATTCGACCAGGAATCGTTTTTGTCATGTCTGAAATTGGAAGATACTACAACAGATAGAACAAAATAGATCATATTCTTTATTTATCTATCGTCTATTCTCTACTTCAGCTGAAACTAAATTGCCCATTGGATCACGAATCAAATATTCTCGAGTGACTGGTACATGCGGATGAATTGTTACTGGATGAATGGTTGGATTCCAGAGTGTCAAAGTGAACTAGAACAACGAAAGATATAGGTTACTTATCTTCCAAAAATTCATTTACTCGATCTTGTCCTTCAATCGGTAGGCATTCACTGATGTTTGAAAGCGAACAGAGAAATTGTCGTGCTACAGGTAGCGTTTGACCTTCTTTAAGTAAGAGTTTATTATAGGCATCATTGATAACATCCTAGCATATTTATGTCAATGTTTTTAGTGAATGAAGCTAGTCTTATGAGAACACATACCACTGTTCTGTCGATGCCATACGATAATCGTTGTACATAATCATTAGCGACATGTTGCCTCTCTGTTCCACTAATGGCATCATGATGTTGAGCAACGCCCATAGCTTCACCTATATAAAGAAGTACGACTATGTATCGATCAAAATGTTTCTCTTACTCAGATAGAAAATAGTGTTGCGTCGATTGCTCTGTGAAAATGCATTCAATTGACGTGTAACTTGAAGAATATTGTTTGAATAACGTTCATAACCTTTGAAAGTAGCTCGTGAAGTGAAGTAGCCTGTCCAGAAGCCATGTGAATGAGTGGCATATGGAAAGAAATCATCCGTTTTCGATGTCCATTGTTTGTTGGCTTTATTTAAAGCATACAAATAACATGATGGTGTCGAGTAGAAAACATTGACATTACTACCATTCTCTTGCTGAACATTGATCGATTGAGGACATTGTTAATCAATAGTAATATAATACCTACCTGAGCATTGACATATTTAATCAATTTGTCCAAATTTTTGAATTTCTCATTAGCATTCTGATCGTGAAAGTCGCTACCAAAGGTCATGATTATATGATTTGTTGTATAACTGATAGCCTGTTGACCATTAAAGAAATATGAAAAGATTACGTTAAAAGAATAGAGTAATAAAAAAAAACGACATAAAAAAGAAGACCTCATTGTGTGCAACATTGATAAATGCTTGAACACGTTCAGGAACATTGTAATCATACAAACGAGCATCATCCTAGAAATTTTTTATCAGATAGGGAGAAAATAGAGATAGTACTTCGGCAAACCATGATCGGCGCATCTGTACAGAGAATATCAAAACAGAACGAATCTGGTGCATCGTATCCATGTGGTAGAATACCCGTAAACAGCCAACCCTGACGATCTACAAATATTGTATTAGAAATATATGCAGTTTCTACTCAATATTTTTGCATGTATCCATCCAAAATTCAACTTCAAATCAGATCGAAGAACTTTAATTCTGACTCACTTAAGTTCACGCTTCCTTTCCAGATCATTTCCATAGTTTTTGTCATGTTTCGTTTTGCAATATCTTGATAGTCAGCTCGTCCGAAAAAAAGACCATCAAAACCCATCTATATGTAGACAACAGAAGTACCATTCTGTGCACGCACTTGAAACTCACCTGTGCAAAAAGTGAAGCTACTTCTCGCGAATGACCAAACGGATCGATTTGCCAGCCAATTTTTGGTCGAGCACAATCACCGAACTGATCACGCAAGAACTCAGCACCTAAACTATGTTGATCAATAATTGAATTATAATGTGTTGCTCCCTCATCATGCATCGACCAACCACCTGAGATGAACTCGAGACGACCTAGTCATCAAAATACAACAGAGAAATAAATCTGTATGAGTTACATTGATGTTCAAATTCTTTGATATTAATCTGACTATCCACTGAAATTTTATTCATTATATTCGATTTGAATCCATACAAACCCTCATTGACGAGTTGTCTAACTGTGTTATGCATGTCATCTGATTGTTGATTCCACCAACGCCAAAAAAAGGCCATTTCGACATAGATGTATCGTCGATCAGGATTTTCCAGCAGTGCTTGAATTACTGAATCAATGATGTATTGAACACCTCGATGACGAATTTCACTGCGGGCTAAATAAAAAGATAATCAATGTTATTGTATAATTTCTCTGTTATTGACCAATCTGTTTGAAAAATCATTCTATCAAATTTATCACTCACATCCATAGTAGTATTGATCGATTGTTTTGAGCCAACCAACATCATCGTGTGTGTGAGCCACAATGTGAACATTGAGTTTATCTGGGTTACCCAAATTACAGAACTACAACATCAATACTTATTTTTCTCTAATTCTCAATGTTGGCGTATGTGTGCTTTTTACATCATAACCACAACTAGTGTATGGTTTGAATGGTGCCGCAAAACTCTGCGTACCAACCAGAAGAACAACTGCACAAAACATTGCCACATGAATTGTCTAAGTACAATAATTATTTATTGAAGCAATGATATTCATCTTACCATTTCTGATAATTGCATCCACGGCTTGAGTTACATATATGTCGGTTTCTTGAATGTGACGAAAAGATAAGAGACTTGTTTGTCGACGACACAAATAGATTTTTTTGTGTCAGCCAGATGTTTTGATAACGGGCAAATTGCGCACATCTACATTCGAGATCAAACATTGGACTCGAACAATAGAAATATCTTGCTATTGGGTCTGTCAACATATTGAATGTTCACTATAGATATCTTGAAATAAGAACTCATCATAAAGAAGAGAAAACGTTTTTATGTAATAAAAATTAAAATAGCATTGCCTAAAAAATGTTTGCATTTCAATTTTGTAGGCTGCTTTGAGAGCTATCGAAATCATACAGTGTACTAAACTTCCCCCCCCCCCCCTACTTGACTTTAATATCAAAGTTAACAATGTCTCATCATTTATAGGAATTGACGAACTAGATCGAAAACGGAATCGGTGTTGGGTGTAGTTGTGGGTGTAGTGTGGGATGGGTGGGTGTGGGCTGTGGATGTGGGTATCGGTGTTAATGAAGATGAGGGTGTGGCTGTGAGTGTGGGTGTCGGTAGGTGTGGGGTTGGTTGGGTGTGAGTGTTGGTGTAAATAAAGATGAGGGTGTAGATGTCGGTAGGTGTGGGGTTGATTGGGTGTGGAACAGATGACACCTACATCCACATCCCACACCTGCACCAACACCATTTTTGAATCTTGAGACTTTGGTATATTTTGTTTTTGGAGTTTTATTACTTGATTTTAAATGAATCTTTGGATTTGGAATGGAATTAAAATTGTAAAGTTAAAAACTCGCTTTTTCATCTTGAAATATAACCTCCTGGTTTCCGTCATAGACCCTGACAAACATGTCAAAATGGCTAGAAGAAATTAATTTTCCATGTTTTGAATATTGTCTTTGTACTTTTAGATTTCTTGGTTCTATGGATTTTTCGGCACACTTGAGAGGTTTTCGAAGTTAGGCCTTTTGGATTTTCAAGGAATTTCAAATATCGATATTGATAAAAATCTGTTTGTCTCTCTTGTAATTATAACTAAAGAGTCTCATCATGTTTCACATATTAATCCCATTGCGATTGCCTGAGAGCTTGTTATTTTTTGGCTGAAAACGCCACGTTTTATAATTATTTCCTTGACTTGATAGTAGTCGAAATTAATTAAGTTGCTTAATGTAAATGTGTAGGTGTTGGTTGATGTTATCTTCATCCACACTCACATCCAGCGTAGATTATGGTAGTATTTTGCCATAAATACCATGGCAATTTTCGACCGTAATATGGTGCATACCAAAAAGTTAATTTATAGTTCGTATACGACCGTTTCTGGTTGTCGTAATGATCGACCTGGGATGCATATTATATGTCGTAATGTTGAATATTTCGAATGTAATCGAATAAATCTTTGTAATATTTCTTATCACAAACAATTACTGATATATTTGTATTATTAAAGGTAAAAGTTATACCAAGTTCGTTTAACTGACAATAAATTGGTACACTAGCAATATTTTGTAAAATACAAACTAAATCACCAATTATCCATTCAGATCGATTAGCTACACCAGTAACCAAATGGCAACGTAATTATATCAAATGTTGCATTCCATAGCTAAAATGTTGTATTCTTTGACCTACTCTTTTGAACGTTTACCGGGGATACAAATTAGCATAGTCATTGAAGTTAGTGCTACAGACATCTCTTACGCTCAAATATGGAAGATTCAAATTGAAAATGTGTGACCGATGGAATTCGACTTGCCATGTTCGCTCTAGTACATATTTTTTTTTATTCAAGAATCAACAGTGAATTTACGAACTGGGTGATGAGAATTTGACGGTTGTAGTGTGACTCTACGCATATCGCAAACATTGTAACTATACAGATTGGGCAGTTGAACCAATACTCGTCATCCTTAAAATTACGATGATAAACAATATAATATTGAAAATTTGGCTTGATAGCAATATTAACATCTATATTCATCTAAGAGCAAGTAATAGAGACAAAAGAGAGATATTTTTACTAAAGCTGAAGTAGATTACGTATTTTTATGCTTATTGAAAAAAAAAATATGTACTGACTTTTTTTTTCGTACTTTTTAATATTTTTCTTTTCTTCAATGAATATGTCATTAACAGAGGAATATTTTTAAAACAGCAGAGTAAAATGTTGCCAATAGGATTTTTATTATTAGTGAGAACGTGAAATTTACTTATTTGACTTAGTTTTTGATGCTGATTCCGAATATGACATTTGTTTTCAGTTTTTGTAAAAAGATTACGACAAAAATGTCTAAAAACCAGCTGAAAATGCAGTCAATTTTCATAAAAGTACGATATCATGGATTGTACTTAATTAGTCAAAGTTTTCTTTTCATTATTCTATAGCCCCACAGTCCTGGTATCTATTATAAAAGTTTCAGCTTTGAGGAGTTGTTTATGCAAAAGATATTGTTTGATGAAATCTAACTACTAGCGACACCTATAATCCGATCATAGAGCGATATATAGAGCTGGAGTTTATTTTATTTTGTAGGACAATTCAATATGAATCTATCCTGAAATTTTCATAATTCTGCATCATTTTAATCAGAAATGGAACATTTGTTAGTGGACACTGAGGAAATCAACATCGTTCGTTCAAGGAAAAGGATCTCATAACAAAAATTGAATATCTCAGTGATGATTTGATCTATCGAGGTACATTTGGTGGCTAAAAATACACTTATTAATGTAATTTTGAAATATGTAGCGGAAATCAAAATTCAGAAAAATCGATTGACCGGCCTCTGTGGCAATAGATCATGGCTTATCTGCAATGGTTAGTATATATATATATAAGATTTGTATTGAATAAAACGAAATTGATGATGAAATTCGAGTTAGTCACTCTACTAAAACATGTACACCAGTATACTGCAATGATAAAAGTTAGCGAAAACTTGGAAAAAAATTTGCTACTTCAGTATTCAAATCTGTATGTGCCACTATTCATTTGAGTTTAGTCGCAACCATTTTATTTTTGCTTATATCTATCTCAAATTCGATTTATTGAGATCATGAACAGGAAAATAATCAAATTAATAATATTCGGTTTATATCAATGAACAAAATTTTAATGCAATGTTTCCATCGAAGTTTTTCATTGAGATAAGAATATCGAGTATGAACTGGGTAATATAAGTTGATAGGGCGGATTCATTTACCTTTAAACTCACACTTCACACTCTCTCAAATCTAAAAATAATATCACTCATAAACTGTTGTGTTCAGATTTATAAGCAAGCGATTATGAACAATTTATTTTATTCGTTGTTCAAAATTATGTTATAAACAATTGAAATATTGAATATATGGAATTAAATACTATCAATGAAAATCTCTTGAATCTATAGCATATTACATCCATTGTAGTTATACGGACTATGATCGATGTCATCTATTTGCTATACAATAATTAAAATTTGAATATTTTTATGTGAAACAACATAAAAATTTGTATTATGAGTAAATGCATAAAAAAAAGTGATACACAAATGTCACGCATACAGTCTAGCTTAGCATCATGAATCTTTTCAAGTATCGTTTTTCTAGGAAAAATACAAAATGTTAGAAAAGCTATTGCAAATTTATATTATTTCATAATGAACAAGACCAGATATAATTTTGCAACATTTGCACATAGCACTCTTTTTAATTTATATTGTTTGATGATGCAATTAAAGTTTTTCGCAATAAAGAGAGTTTCCACTTAAAAATATGAAATATCCGGCAATGCTGTTTGATGACTTTGTGAATGTTGAGAAGTTTTGTTTGAACATCTTTTCATCGAGTCTTTATTTTTGGATGAAGAGTTTTTTCGAGATATCAATCGAAATAAAAAGTTTTTTATATTATGTCGTTTTCTCCATGCAAATAATAATAATGATAAAATACTAATTACTCCAAAAACCAAAAATAATCCACTTATTGCTTCAATTTCGATCGCAGTTGATGTTTCTAATGAGTCAGGACACTTCTTTGCTTGAAACCATTTTTGTCTTAATTTCTCCAGATCACCTGCTTCTCTTAATGATAGAATATTCACATCTAAATCTTGTGCATATAACCATTTCTGAGGAGTAACAATACCAAATATAACCATTTCTGAGGAGTAACAATACCAAATACACTTTTATCAAAATCATTTCCAATTATAGTTAAATTACAATATATATTATTCGTGACATATTCAATAGTACCACTATCCCAAAAAGCTGCATCAATCATATTTATAAGTAGACTAAGATATAAATCATTGAGAGATTGTAATGGGTAATAATTTCGAGCACCATTAGATATTTCTCTCAAATAATATTCTTCAGGAGCTGAATCTACAAGAATACCGATACGATTAAATGGTATTTTTCCATTTTTGATATCGTCAATTCCAGAAATAATAGCTTTTGATTTCGCTATTGTCAGTTCAGATGCTAAATTTGCAGTATATGATGCTACTAATATCAAACTTAAGATATATAAACCAGCAGTTAATAAACGTCTAGCCGCTGTATTTGTATGAAATTCTACACCATATCCAACAATATTACCAAAAGAATACCACACATGCAGTATAACTTGAGGCAATATTGATTGATTTTGTAATGCTTCATTATCTTCTCTCTCTATTATATATATTAAAATACCAGCATAGATTAAAGTACCTAAAACTAATAACCAGAGATTACACGAAAATGATTTTAAGAATGAGAATAGATCAATATTAACATCGGTTGTTTTTCGGATAATAATACGTAAAGAATTATCAAATATAATATTGGAAAAATCGACTCATTTTCTTCGTGCAGCGGTAACAGTCACATCACCTATCACTATATCATAAACACCGTTACGTACTGCTCGAACTAATCCATTATAGGTTTGATTTGATGGTGCTAATTCAATAGTCGGAATAAATTCCATTTTATTTTGTAAAAGTTCAATAGGATCATGCACATAGCCGCTATACTCTATTGTACTTTGTCCAGATACATCTATGACTTTTTCAACAATTGTAAATGGAACTGATCCAATAACATCTATTCGTAAATTTACACCTTTGAGAAGTGCTCCACCAATAGGTTGTGTTAATGAATTACCAGGGCATATTATAACATTTTCTTTTGTAGGTATTCTCCAATCGCCAGGATGAGAATATTCTAATACGGAAACAAAACTTAAACCATTCGAAGAAGATTGAGCATTTTTTGCAGAATAATACAAACCTGTTATTCGATCTGTTACATTAACACTAAATTGTATAGGACCAGATACACCAAGAAATTCTGTTCTACTAACTGCATCTAATAATAACTTAGAATGAATAAAACGACAATAAAAACAGTATGAAGATCCAATAAATGACAAACATAAAGAAGAAATATTTATTTTTGATGCACACACTTGTTGTAATGATTGAATTAATGTCCATGTTGCATCAAATACAAATAATGCATAATTATCTACATTCATGGATCCAGGAAATGATTCAGGCTCATATTGTTGCCAAATACTATATGCTGCATTTAATAATGTTGCATTAATTGGTGCATTGACAACTGATTCTACAGCTGGTTCAATCAGAAACATTCCAATTAAGTTTTGATAAAATGTTTCATTTAAAGAATTTAATGGAACACTGCCGCTTAGTATCCATGTAAAATATGGATCAACTACATTAGAGTCAAGAGCCTTTTGCAAAATCAAAAATCTATAAATTGGTTCAGCCCATAACACAACAATTCGTGTTGCAGCATTAGTTAAAAGACTTTTCAAATCACCACGAATATTAAGTATAGAAATATCAAATACAACCATTTGGTTGACTATTAAGCCACTTTTATTAAAAGCTTCACTAATAGCTTGAATTCCACCAAGTCCAAATGTATCATTTTGATAAATTATTGAACATGATGTCCAATTAAATCGAATAAATAGTTTTGCAAGGGCTGATGCAGCTGTATCGTCCGAAGAAACTGTACGATAAAAATTAGGATAAGTATTTCGATTAGATAAATCAGGATCAGTTGCAGAATATGATATAACAGGTATGCCAATTTTTTCACCAAAAAGAGCAATTACATGAGCTTCTCTTGATAAACGTGGACCAACGATACCAACAATATTCGACACAGATACTGCATGACACGTAACATCCAGAGCATCTATTATATTACCAGTAGTTTGCTCCACTTGCCATCCTATGAATTCTCCTTCGATTGTCATATTATATTGATGAGAAAGTAGTATTGCTGCCTTAAACATTGTCCAAGAATGAGCATACAATTTGGTAGTATCAGATGCGTTTGATATGTTTCGAAAAAGGCCTAACAAGCGAATGTTAGAAGAGTTTGATGATGGCCAACTTGTTATTACATAACCTACGTTAAATTGTCCAAGTATAAAGTATAACAACAAACATCGAAATTTACAGAACAATAACATTGTTGGTCAATTGTCCAACAAATAAGATAGTTGAATCAAATATCAGAAAAAAAAACGAAGTATACTGGAATTTAAATACAAGAGCAAACTAATATAAGAGGCAACAATGAATGAGAAATCGAGCAAAAATGTTTCTGTCATATTTTTACACGGTTCGATAGAGCAGGACAAGCTCTACAAGAATATCTATATTAAAAAAAAAAACTTTTAAAGACATTATTGGAGAGAAGAATTGCAAGAAACTTTAAAATAACCTTGAACACATTCACTTTTTATTTATAGAAGAAAAATATGCAATTTTTCAACAAATCGAACATTTTCGATTGTTAGTTTTGATACATATAGAAAGCTTATAGCGATAATATTTCACAATACTAACATATATTAATGCATTAGTAAATGAATAGTGATGAGGTATATTTCTTTTTTTTTAATCAATAAATGAAAACTGATTTTATTACATCTATTCATATGCTGTTTTTTATTATTGTAATAATACGAGAAAAACAAACGAAAGAATTTCTCAACTGTAGCCAAATAGCATATATGAAGCCGATAGAAATGTACAAGTACAAGGTAACTCTCTAATTTTATTTTTTCCTTTATTTCTATTGCCTTAATGTGCATTGTTACATACCTAATTATGACAATTTAGTTTTGAGTATAATGTGAGATTATATCTCTTATTTTTCTATTCGATTATTTTATGAAATAACATCTAACTGTGCGTTTGTATTAGCTACACTATATAAATATATCTTACATGTAAAATATATACACATAATAATGACATGTAACGATCAACATTTTATTTTGTCAAGGCATATCAATGCTTTCCTCTCATCTGCTCGTTTACCGTATTGCACAAAATAGTTAAATAATGGAGGACAAAATGTATTAGGTAGGAAATAATATTTTTCCAGGGAGGTATTCCCATGATTTCAAATAGAGTAGACAATAAATTTTATATCAAATGAGAGCTCGTTGAAAATGGAATTTTACTAGTATTAAACCCAGGTCGAACCGAACGCAGATCAAACGTGTGCGAAACCTATGAACCTACAAAAACGCGTTCATTACGCGTTCGTTGAGTTTTTTACTTTTTTTTGTAAAGGCTATGGCTGACAAAGAATTGAAAAATGGAAGAAATTAGAAAGTTACAAAAGTTGAGTCTTTTTTTTTAAATAAAATATCTCCTAGAATAATCACAATATAAAATAATTTTTTATCGATATTTGGGTTAGAAATTCATCTCCTTTATTCCTAGGCGATTAACCATTTGAGACGTAATTTTTTCTACTGAACCGAATTTCATGAAACTTGGTATAAACTAACTAGGTGATATTAGCAAGTATGTGGTTAAATTACAATTGAAGGTCAAGGTAAGAAGTTTATTTCCCACTAGACCTCAAAGGGTTAAACGATCATTCCAATGCAAATTTTAAATATATATTATATCCATTCATATTTCAGATGTATTTATAGATTAGCCTATGCATATTACTATAGATAGTACCAATGACTATCGTATTAACACATTCAGCCCGACGTGACCCGCCACTGAGTCACACTATATTTTAAGAAGAAACTGTATAGAAAACCGCTTTCTGTTGCCTTTTATTTAGACATGAGGTTACACATAATGTGTCACCTGCTCTGTCCTCAGTATTTTTTGAGTGCTTTATTCCAAAGCATGACGCTTCTCGTTAAAACAATCAAGATAAAAAAATTTGTTACAATCAGCAAAGAAAGTTTTTATTTTCTTTGTTGTCAGCATGCTCGCTTCTCTTGATTGTTGTTTCCTGCTTTTCTCATAGCCACCTGCACAGCGCCTTCAGACATTGCACGCAAATCCTTCCTTTTCTTCGAGCTTGTGATCAGCGAGCTTGAGCTTCGAACGACTTGCTGATTGTTGTCTCGGACCAGGTTTCAGCTTCTCAAATGGCGTACCAATGAGTAAAGGCCGCACGAGACTCTCATAAAACTGCAGAATGGTCATGTCGCTTGCGGCATAATTTACCTTGTAAATCAAATAACTGTTAACTATTGCGGTTCCAAATACCAATTCAAATGCCACCTTTTTATACCATTTTATAGACTGTCTGAGACATGTATAGTATGTTGACAGTTGCTCTGACAAACCACTAACTTATCTTCCCTCGTTATAATCTAGTACAACTTGTGGCTTCATAATAGACTCATTTCGTATATTGTTTTTTCCAGTGTCCATCACAATTGTTGAATGCGACGGTCTTGTGAATATCATCAAAAAATCTCTTTTATCTTTCCACTTGATTAACTATAAGCATG